TCTCAGTTCAAACAGAACGTTGAATTTAAAAGTGCTTATTTGTTTTGAAAGGGGGTTCGTACGAACCCCTCGAACCCCCTGGCTACGGGCTTGCTTGGATATCAAACATATAACTATCTCCATTTTTATCAAAAGTGGACATATAACACTATAAGATTCACACGACGAGATGTCCTCGAGTGACTTTATTCAAATTTAACTAAAGCCCATACAGACCACACAAGCCTGAATGTAGCTGAGACAACTTTTAAACTTAGATATGAACAAATTCATAACTAATTTTGAATGCATGAATGATCTCAACATATTTGCTATTAAATTCGGAACGAAACTTTATAATTTGCCGTAAAATCTGACAGAAGCTGCATCGGAGTATTACAATCTAATTAAAATATATAGTTCTCTGATCTCGTATGAAATCAGAGAACTATATTTTAATTAGATTGCGGAGTATTATTGTTTATTTTTGTGTTTTTGTATATTATAGCATGTAGATCATTTCATTTTCGAGTGTTTTTTTGTATTATAATTACTTTTATGATTTTTTTTGTTCGTCCACTGATCGAGATTAGACATTAAAAGGGGCAGGGTTTAGAGCTATTTATATATTCTGGGAGCTTTGGGAAATATAAACATCGTGTTAGCATATGATTTTCAATGGTTAAGAAAATAGACATGCAAACGTAAAGGTTCAGAATTAGGAGCTCACTATTCTTCAGATTGTTTTTCTGTCGCGTAAAATCAGTTGGGGCCCCTCCACTATCGCCAAGTTTAACCACTCTCTTCATTTGCAATAGTATCAGGATTCGCCACTGGTTCAGATAATGCAGCGACGTGAATATTACCGTTGTTCAGTAGATAGACCCATAATCGGGAGCGTCTGAATTCTACTTTTGTAACGTCCGATCCGATGGGGTCATATATCAAATTTCATCCCCTTTATTCAGATAGTACCACTCACTTAGCACGAAAGAGAGCCCTTGCGACATCTTTTTTTTAATCTTAGGAGTCTTGTTGCAAGACCAAGCTTCGTACCCTGCTTACCACACTTATCCTTTGTGACAGAACTCATAAATTTGTTAAATGTGGTATCGTCCTGAATATGAACTAAATAGTTTGGTTCTTAAAAAAAGTTACGTCTATTATTTGAGTTCAGCCATACACTATCAGAAATATCGTCTAAACTCAAATTAATTGCAACCGAAATAATTTTTTTCTCATTTTAGTTCTACGATATCATCAGATTCAAATCTCTCATTGATAAAACTTGGGATCATCCGAGTAAACGGTATGTAAATACTTTCATATAGACCCTGGAAGGTAAAGAGCTTGATATATTGTGCATACCACCTGTTTATGTTAAATGCCGTGTGTTTCACTCTTGCATGACATATCTAAGTCTTGGTATTTTATGATCTTAGACTTGCTTACTTTTGACCAGAAACAATTTTATGAAAGAGCCGCCAGCTTCTTTTTTCACTGAGCCTACTAACATATATGGATTGTAATTATGACATTAACAGTAATTGATCCTACTATGTAAGTTTCAGTTTTGTTGCCCAAGTTTGACCACAACACAGACTAGACTGGGTACATTTATGAGGGAACCCCATCATTCCCCAAAGGCCCATGTGAGCTTCTGTCGTCCTTAAACTTTTCTTAAAAAATCTTCTCATCCGAAACTGCTCAATGGATTGAAATCAAAGTTTGTCTAAATTATCTGTAGAATGTCAACTATTAATTTTGTGATTTTCGTCATAGTTGATAAACCAACATATGGCCGCCATTTCTAAAAAATAAAACATAGGGGTCTATCAACAGTTTTGGCTAATATCACTAATAAAATTAATAATATAATTAGAGAAAAACTGATAGGTAAAAATGGTCAGCAAAACAATTCTATCCACGCTGAATCTTTTGGAAAAATATGTCCACTTGTTTGTAGTAATTGACCCTGAAATGTTAATATTTAACTTGTTAGGCATTTCCTTGCCACTGTTTCAAAAATTATAGGAGCTACTTTAAAAATGTCTTAATTTTTCCTTTTTTTATATAAATATATACCATGTCAGAGTAAATGACAGTAATTAATGCATTCTTTTAATCACCCAAATTAGGTGCCTGTCCTAAGTCAGGAGCCTGTAGTACAGTGGTTGTCGTTAGTTTTTTGTCTGTCCTGTGTGTATTTCGTAAATTGTTTTGTTATAAATTAGGCCGTAAGTTTTCAGAGGCGGATCCAGAAATTTTTCAAGGGGGTGTTACAAAAACAGGTACTTGCTTCTATCCATGGGAAGATCGACATGTAATTACATATGGATAGTCGACCTTCCCATGGATAGAAACAATTGCCTGTGGTCACCAATACGAACTTTCAAAACTTTTTCAAACTGTCGGGTACCCTGAGTTCAATATTTGAAAGTTGACATTCGCAACTGAATGGCTTACACACGAGCTGACAATTTTAAGAATGACAAAGATTTTTGTAAAGTCTAACTCTTGCGTTTCTTAATGCTTTGAATTGATGACTTTTGAAATATTTCTTTAATATTTGACTAGAAATACATACAACCCCATATTTACTTCGAACGAAAGGCAACAAGGCAACTTGGCCTAAGAGAACAATCATTTTATATTTCGGGGGGGGGGGGGGGGGGGTTAGGATATTTTGCGGATTGAATGTTCATTTTTATCGGTTACTATGCATGATTATTCTGTTTAATTTCTTTTTAATTTTCAGTTCTTATACCAGGTCAGGTAATTTGTTTTTAAAAATCCTCCTGCCCACGTCCCGACCCCGGCCCCGAAAATCAAACAGTCGTCTACTAAACGAGCTATAAGTATCAAGATAGTGGGTATGGATTTAGGGGTATTCGTCTCCGAGAGGATAAGAGCCATGTCATAGTAGGTTCATAAGGAGTTGTTGGTACTTCAGATTGGGGCTGATTTGTGTTTTTTTTTTCTGAAGAAAAGGGGATAAAAATTTCAATACACGTTGAGGTTTAAATTTGTAGGAAATTAATAAAGGTTTGGAAAATGATTTAGATGTTATTAATAACCAGAACGAGTGGCATATCGTTTGGATTTTAGAATCACACAGTAGCAAACTAGTAATATTCGAGACAATTTAGAAATAACTTGTTTGTTTTTATAAATTTTGATGCTGTTTTTATTGTGTTTGTTTGATATGTATGTATATATGTTTATTGTGTTAATACATGTTGGTCACAAACTGTAAAGTTTTTATACGACAATAAAATATTTGATTTGATTCGATTTGATTTGTTTAAACTTTTAAATCTAAATAAACTTACTTAAAACGAGAGGAAAAAAAACCTTTTAAAATTGAGAATTGTGTTTCATTTTATATATTTATCACACCTCCACATTAGTAATTATTACGAATTAACGATCGGTAATTAAATATTCACAGCATTAACATGTCTTTTCGCCTTACGGTAGATCTATTGAATATCAGAATTAAATGATCCTTTTTGTTATTTTAATGGGGTGTAAAAGCGTTGACCGAAGCACATTTTGTATGAAGCGCGGAAGCGTGAAGTTGCATGAGAAGTCAAAAGCACGTGCTGTCGTGAATGTTGAATTATATTGAGAAATACAATTTGATGTTCGAATGCCTCCCAATTGCTTTCAGCCAATCAAAAGTACGGATTCTTATGAAACATACATATATATGTAATGTAATTATTTGGATATGAAATAACAGGTTTATTATTAGTGATAAACAAATTGGGAAATTAATCAAAATCTAAATTAAATTCTATAAACTGCACCATTTTTGCCAACCTCAGGGTGTGTCATGTATACCCGGTGACAACCTCTGTATCCGCCTCTGGTTTTCTCGTTTGAATTGTTTAAATTTTTTCATGTCGGGACCTTTTATAGCCGACTTAGACTTGCTACAATTCCCTTTCTTTTATTTCGTTCTTACTAATTTACATGTTTACTAAAAACTGCCAGTATACTGATTGCCCTTGCAGATGTCAGTATAATGGTAATCTCTTAGTTATAGCAGTAAAATTGTTAAAGGGGCAAAATTGAAAAAAATAAAAATAAATAAGGAAGGGACATGTAACAAGTCTATAGCGGACTATACGGTATGGTTTTTTTCTCTCTCATATTTGAAGGACGTACGGTGAACGATAATTGCTTATATCAGAAGTCCATAACTAGAGCCCTAGTAATGGACTTCTGCTTATATCCACTTCATCTGAATTCTGGTGGATAGTGGATAGTCTCATTGGCAATCATACCACATCTCCTTATTTTTATATTGGCTGTTTTTTTTTTTTAACTATAGGATCTATATAAACATGTAAATTGTAAAACCGATAAGCAACACAAAGAGTAACTATAGTATGTTCATATAAAAGTCCTTATAGGCTTAATTATTAGAAAACTGGCAATTCTTTTCACCAAGTGAGTGATACAGTGACATGAATGAATGGGGTTCCTGAAGAAATTTGGATCTCTGATTTTGTCTAACTAGGCTGATAAACAGTACATTGAGTGGGATTTATCTCGTGCCCTTTTAACTCCCAACTGAGAATGACCCAGTTTTAAAAATCGGTATAGGAACAATATTGTCAATATCAATTATGAATTAATGGGTTGTTCAGTAAACTCTGAAAATGAAAAAAAAAGTTGAAAAAAATAAGACCTTTCTACAGTGTTAAAGTCTAAAAGTTAGTCAGTGACCTCTTTCATTTTTCCTTTTTTTTTTTGCCAAAAAATTGGACAGTTTCACCCCCTCCCCCCGCTCCGACGCCCCGGCATTAACTGGTAAATTGATTTTTTTTTTCAATATTCACTGTTTTTTAAGTCCATTTTTTCAACAGTAGTAGTGGTACATTGTTGTGAAGCTATTGAGAGTTGATTTTGTGATTTCAAATTTATTTATAACAAAAATAGTACGGAAATTAGTGTTTTTGTATCCCCGAAACCGACTTTTATATTTTAATATATTTTTTAGGTTATTTCCCTTTGGCGAACGGGAAAAGACTTGCAAATTTTTTTTACCCATCACACAGTTTGAATGCAGCAATGTTTCACAAAAGTAAATTCATAATTAAGGAAGTAATTATTTGCGTTTTTGATCATCTGATATAAAGGAATTGAAAGGAACTAGTGACAAAATCAATACTCCGCTGATCATGTAACTTGTACTTTCGGTTTCGTTTTTACTGTGGATTTTTTAATTCCAAATATAGAAAACGCTATTCCTTACATCGTAGCTGGTAGACTGGTAGTAGTGAAAATGGTAGAAGCATTCAACAAGTTAATAGGGAACTACGCTCAAAGCTTGGCCTTGATGATTAATGGTCATGAACTATCTAAGCAAGTCAAGGAAATTATTCGCGACAAAATGGTAGAGATGACCAATAAACTTGGTGAAATAAGTCAAGGGGAAGTTGATGTTGTACATACAGGTTTGCAATACAGCCATTTTCACATGATCAGACTTTTAGCAAGTGAACATGCAGACGTTAAGTTCTTCCCGTGTGTCGAGTTTGATCTTGTACTTGTTTATAATAGGTACAAAATATGCGACTGTACTAAAGAGAAACTGAACGAGATGATCAAGTCGTGTGAGTGTTTTGCTTTAATGCTTCCAACAGACCATCCAGGCTATGTCAATTTAAAAATTTCAGAATATGGGCGAACGATGATTGATAGGCCGAACTGTGATGTTGACAAAAATATAGACCCTGATGGGTACCTGCCAAACTACATCTTTAGGGCTAACTGGTTTCCAGAATTTGCAAAATCAACAGAAGAACTATACAATATGTTGAAGATGAAATACTCTGAACCTTCAGATAATTATGAAAATGACAAAGATAGCATTGGGATATCCCATGATTTTGCTCATACCTTTCCATGTCGGGAATGGCCAGTAGCTGCAAAGAATTGGATATCCAGACCAAGACCAACCAATTGGCCAACTGAGGACACTATTCAAGAAATAACAAAAGGTAAGTCTTCTTCAGAGGTGATAGCAACAGAATATTGGGAGTGAGTACTGCATTTAACATGATTATGGAAATTAAAAGTCTAAATTTTTAATAAATGAAGAGTTTCACTTGAAAATGTGCATCTTGACATTTGAATGAAAGTGTCCTTGCACTATTTTTGTTTATATATAAATGAAAATGAAAACAAAATCCAAAACAAACCACATATATACATTGCAAAATTATTTGGGTTTTTTCTTGATACAAGAGAGAAAAAGACTTCTAAATAGTGAGCAACAACATGAACAAATATAAACTCCAAAGAGATATGGTAGGTTTGTCAGTGAAACTTTCAAAAATATTTGTTGGTCATATATCAGTTTGACATGTTTCAACAGTCAAAAATAAATGAAAAAAAATAAGAAGTGGTATGATTGCCAATGAGACAACTCTGCACCAGTGACCAAATGACATTTATTAAATATAAGTTAAGATACCCTGTAAGTTTACCCTTCTTCTCTACTGATGAGTACTGCCAGAAGTCAGAAATACCCATATAATAAGGTATTCAAAGTATATATCATGTATATAGAAAAATATCTCCTACAAAAGTACCAATACACATAAAAGATAATGGAACCCCTGTCAAAGAGCATAATAAATACATAATAGAAGATATATTTATCTTTTACTATTAACCCCTTCAAAAGCTATTTAAAAGTCCCTTTCTATCATTTACTACTTTCAAGTGCAATGTACAAATGATGTATTATCCAAACCAATTCATCACAGTATACCTTACCATTTGTTAAGATGTATTACATAAGTACTGCTAATGATGATTAATTCTACAGTCAAATATACACATACATGATGTGTCTTCAATAACTTTCGTATTGCAAACATATTACATAATGGATATCCTCCCCCCCTTTCTCTCTCTCTCTCTCTCTCTCTCTCTCTCTCTCTCTCTCCCTCTCTCTCTCTCTCTCTCTCTCTAAAAAAAACCCAAAGAAAAATAAAAAAAACATTGTTGTTAAAAAAGCACTATCATGCAAGTAAAATGTTTCAGAAATGGACTGCCACATGAGAGCAATACGTTTTTGGAGTCATGATAGTGCAGACTGTAACCTTATGAAACATTGTCAGCGTGATGTTCTAGCTCAAAGCAGGGCCCATATTCATGTCACAGCACCATGTTCTAGTCCGGATTAACATGTAATATGTGCCACTGGATGATAACCACCAATCCATTCTTATCTTTTAAACGTTTGTTTTTCTTGAATTCGAAAGAAGAGATTTTAACAGTTCTATCCTGTCGTATTTTCTTTATATTACTGAACTATTTTCATTTAGCTACTTCATAACGTATAGACTGATGAATATTACCAGTTGTGCGTTACTTTTTACGCTCTTTATCCATTAACAACCAGATTTATCATTCCTTCAACTTGTTAAAACGTATCAGAGGCGGATCCAGGGGGAAAGCGGTTTCCTTGAAGGACCGAACATATGGGAATTGTGTACATTTGTTTTCTGATTTTTGACAAGTCTACCATCCTTACTATCCTCTAAAAGAGGGACGAAAGATACCAGAGGGACAGTCAAACTCATAGATCGAAAACAAACTGACAACGCCATGGCCAAAAATAAAAAGACAAACAGACAAATAATAGTACAGATGACACAACATAGAAAACTAAAGATTAGGCAACACGAACCCCACCAAAAACTGGGGGTGATCTCAGGTGCTCCGGAAGGGTAAGCAGATCCTGCTCCACATGTGGCACCCGTCGTGTTGCTTATGTTATTACAAATCCGGTCTAAAAGGGAAACTTTGTCGGTGGGCCTCTTCACCCAGTTTATATATTTAAATCGGCCTGGAGTCATTAATGATATCAGCTGTTAAACTTGTATTGTTAATAACTGTAACTACAATGGATGATTAACATTTCTAAAGGTTAAAAAGAATTTTTAAATTACTTGAACGAAAATATCAAACCGTACAATCGGCTATAAAAGACCCCGACATCCAAAATGCAAAACAATTCAAACAAGAAAAATAACGGCCTAATTATAAACAATACAATTTACGAAACACAAATATATCAGACATGAACAAATTACAACCACTAGCTGAACTACTGGCTGCTGGCTTGGGACAGACACATAAAGAATGTGGCGGGGTTAAACATGTTTGTGAGCGTTCAACCTCATGTCTAGTTTATGTCTTCTGAGTTTCCTGTGTCACCGTCGGTCTTTTGAATTCGTTCTTTATTTCTGTTCATGAAGTAGTTAAGCATCTGTTCTCGTGCGCTCCAGTTGAATTAAAAAGTTATCACTGTTTTATATTATTTTATAAAATATATAAAGTAAAGTTGTCCAAGCTTAGATTTGTCATTTTCCCTCTTATACATAAACTACATGACAACAAACACAATTATGACATAATATATAATTAAAAAAATCACATTTAATTATGACAATAATGTGTATACATGTTTAATAGTATTTACAAAAATCAATGAAAATAGGAAACACATGACGCTGAAGGCGGATCTGTACGCTAGAACCGTTTGGTTTTGTTTTATATATGTTCTTACGTTAATATAATAATCTTGAGTTGTTTTGATCATCATTACCAAATAGCAAAACTTAAAGGGGAACATCATTTTCGTCAATCTAAAAATAAAATTCTTCTTTGCTTTTGGTACACAGGATACTCGAAAAAATAATGGTTGGCTTACTTATTCGTAGGGTGATCCATATTTTATTTACAGTTTGTGTTTTTTGTGAACATCAATCTTGTTAGATCAAAGAAACTTCACCGTAGTACTCTTTGGATTTAGAACAGGTGCCTTTAATTCTGTTATAGAGGTTGGAGAGTTCTGAATAGATTTATCTATTTTACAATATAGTTGTAGAATACTGTAATTCTTACATAAAATACATAAAAGAAACTTACTTTGTAGGTGGATGTGTGCTCGTTCCAACAGGATACCCACTTAGTGTAGACAAGGAGAGAGAATGGCGTGTGTCCTTTAATATCCACGAACGCCGTCTTGCAAAGTCTTGGAACAACATCCAGAAAACTTGTTATTGCATGGTTCTAATGATGCTTAAAACACACCTGTCGACCAGATCAATTTTGACATCATACCATGTGAAGAATATGATGTTTTGGTTTTGTGAGAAGCAGTATGGCCCTGACGAGTTTGATGGAGCATCTCTAGGCGATCGAGTTTTACAACTTCTTTACTCCATATTAAAGGCACTAGAAAATGGATACATACCACATTTTTTTATTCCAGAAAATAATCTAATCAGCAACAGTGCTGAATCTGATACGAAAAAGGCATGCTCAGAACTGTCCTTTATTGTTGCAAGACCATTTGAAACTGTCTCCAAGCTTTGCCACAAGTTGGACTTTTTTGATGTACGATATCCGGATACCGGCTTTGACGGAGAAGCAGAAATTCACTACATGCTCATTTTATACGCGACATTTGTACAGAACCTTTACAGAATCGGATTTGAACACTCGAAGAAAACCCCTAGTCTGTCAGGAACTTGTTTCCAACATATTACACAAATGAATAAAAATGGAAGCGAACTATTACATACTACATCAAACGGTTATAATGCTAAGAATATGGTTGATCTTCTGAGACCGATTTGTCAAGGCTTTTGTCAGTCCGGAGATCTAGACAAAGCCCTGTCTTTCTATCTCTTGATGTATAACTTTGAACGTGACTTAGTTTTGAAGGACTACCCTGAAATAACCACCAACATAGCTTGTATATACACTTGCTTGTATGACTTATCAAAAGAAAAAGCCGACAAAAAAATCTATGAAAAGAAGGCGATGGAGTTTTTTCAAATCGGAACAAAAATCATGGACGATTCGCCAACACTCCATGTTGGTTACGGAAACTTCCTACTGAGCACGAAAACGTCATTCCTCAAGGCTATTGACCATTTCCGTAAATCAATATCAATAGAGAAACCAAGGGAAGAAGACAACTCCTTGATCCAGTTAGATATACCCGGATGTGAGGAATTTAAACCCACCAGGAGTCGCATACCTGGAAGGCTTGCTGCGTACTTTATGCTGGTAACATGCCTAGCGGACATGGGCGAAATTCAAGAAGCTAGAAGAAATGTAAATAAAATGGAAGAGCTTACGAACGAACTAGACTATGAAATAAGACCAAAGGTTTTACAGATGTGCGCAATGGCATACAAAAAAGCAGGACTAGAGGAGAAGGCATACCTGTGTTTGATGGAAGCATTTAAACTGTTTAAGCAATCCAAGAAGTTAGTAGTGGCAGAGAAGAAGAGGAAAGCATTGGCAGATGCAGCTTACCGAAAAAAGGCACTGGAACTTACGAGATTTGAATAAAAACCATGCAGTATATCGGAGATTTAGAATTGGCATGAAAATGGCTGTATAAAATGGTGTATAGTATTTTATATATACTCTTCCATTTGCGCCAATATATTATGTACCAAGTTGTCATTTTTGTAAAACTATCATTTGCACAGACTTTTCGTTCAATTTTATTTTGACACCCGCATTCTTCGCCCGGTGACACAAGTTTATCTTCAACACTTACCAATCTCCATACTTCAACACCATTAAGCACCACCATTCCTATTTGGCATACAGCTGCAGATGAGGACATCAGATTGGGCTGGATTCTTAATATATTTTTTCTCTCGCTTATAACAGATTCTAATGGTTCAAAATATATTATAACGTCTTTTATCTGTATTTAGTCTAGCGTTATGTATAAGATAAGATAAGATAAGATAAGTTTTATTTTCCAAATTAGGTCCCCAGGGGGGCATATACACATAACATATATAATTGATACAACATACAGTATTTTACATGACATTCATATAATAAATTTCAACTATTGAAACAATACAAGCTATTATACATGTATGTTAAATAAAAAAGTATTTAAGAGTTGCTACTCCAGAGATGTGGCAAACTCATATTTTTTTTTTTCTCACTTGATTTTATAATATTTTGCTGGAAATGTATAAATATAAATGATTGTTTAGCTGCAACAGACAACAAGGGACGATGCTCTAGGATTATGTGCTTAAAAGCTCTAACAATCCTCCTCGTATCTGATGCAGAAAAACAAACACAAATGTAAAAAAAAGTTCATGTGTATCACAGCAAATAAAATATACTGCAGTAATAGGTATTGAGAATAGTGTAGGTTTCCCTACTGCAACAAACACCAAGGGGCGGTACTCAAGGAGCTGTGTTGTTTACACAGTCCTCCTCGTGTCTGAAGCAGACAAGAATGCCACATAATTAACAATTTTTCGAAATAAATTTACCAGCAGCAGTGAGAATTGACTTATCTTCTGTGTTCATAAGCCATATCAGTTTATCTCTTGCGTTAAGAGTTAAAAAGTTGGGGCAACTTTTAGTTATCTCTTGAAATAGATGAATGCGGTCATCATTAAATTTAACACATTGGAATAGAAAATGATATTCATTCTCCACATCTCCGGAGTTACAACGAGCACAAGTTCTGTCATTTAGGAGAGTATCCTGATACCTTCCGGACTCAATTCTTAAGTGGTGTGATGAAATTCTGAGCTTTGTTAAGCTTCGTATAAGACTGGCATTTCGACATGTAAATAAGACAGTGATATAAGCTAAGCCGAAGATCGTTTGCTTCTTTCTTTTATTCAATTATGTTTACTAATTAAATATTGATAACTTGTTAAAAAACTCTGTACAAATTAGAATTAAAACAATTTACAGCTTGTACACAACATATAGATTATGGATTTGCATATACATGTAAAGATGCAGGTAAGGAAATAAAATTGCATACACTTTGTAAAAAAGAGATAGGAAAAATTGAAGCTGTTTCCGATGTCTTACTTTAAATAGTTATAAGATACATGTTTATTTGATTTCAATATTATTACAAAAGTATAGAAAATGTGGCGTTGCAATATATACATGAAAACTTGCTTGAGTGATAAGATAAGATAAGATAAGATATTTTATTTTCCAAATTAGGTCCCCAGGGGGTGGGGGCATACACATATAACAAATATACTCTTCTCAACATACAGTATTTTACATGACATTCATATAATACAGGCTATGAAATAGGTCCTGTACGGAAAATATGGCTCTAATTTAATTTTGTTTATTTCTAGAAGAATTAAAAAATAACTGTCAATGATAGATTGATATATAGGTAATGTGTATTATTTCAATAAGATAGATGCATTTACAAGTCTCATTTCCAGGAAGATTTTATGGTCCCACCCTATCATCAGGGTTCATTGACTTTAAAACATTTGCATATTTTACAAGCTAAAAGTTTGTGTTTAGGAAGGTTTAAAGGGAACTATTTATGATAAGTCAGTGGTATTTGGTAAACAATATTATAAGCTTTGGTATTTATCATTTTCATATTTTCATGGCATTGCACCTTCAGTCATGATAAATTGACTTGGAATGTTTTGCATAGTTCACATGTTTTAATTATTGCCATTTTAATTTCAACATTTGCATTTTGCTATCAAAATACAAAAAGCGAGACATATCTCTGTCTCAAAAGTTTATTACTAGTAATTTTATTTATGTCATTAAAGCTGTGATATTTTTTTAGTACTTGTATATATATATTTATTGATTCACAATTTGTTTGTATATATTATGTATCCGTTTCGTATTTTACTGACAAAAGGACTTAGTTTTTTTGCGGTTGACAAGTAGATACCGTCAGTGGTTATAGTTTGTTAAAAAACAATTCTAACCTGCATGCATTTTATAAAACTTTGACAGAATATTTTGTATAATTAAGAGTAAACCTCTGAAGCAAAATTTAGAAAAATATATTTTCTCTTTCAATTTTCAAGATTTTACTGATAGATGGAGATAGCTTTTTCTGCAGTTAACATTTACAGGCAATCATGGATTACACTTTTTAGCATAAATACATTTGTAAACCTTCATGGATTATTATGAAACTTGGACAGACGCTTATCAAGATCAAGAATAAGCACCTAAAGAAAAATTTGATTTAAAAAAAAAATCTGTATTTTACTGATAAAAAGACTCACTTTTTACAGTTAACATTACACTTTTACATTGCCAGCATCAATTGCAGGCGAGACACATAGTTCCGCAGAACCATTTACGAATTTTTAACTCGTCTGAGACATAACCGAATGAAACTTTTAACCGAACTTGTACTTACCGCGAGTAACATGCGGAACATGATCCTGCTAATCCTCCAAGAGTACATGATATCAACCCTGTTTTTTTAGGGGTTCGTGTTGGTCAGTCTTTAGTTTTCTATGTCGTGTTTTGTGGACTTGTTTGATTCGTTTTTTTTACAATGCCAATGGTATATTCAGTTTTTCATCGACTAATATGTTTTGAATGTCTACATGGTATCTTCTACTCTTTTTGTGAATAAAGTAAACGGATTATCAAAAATCGGATATTAGTGCGAAATTCTCTGAATGACAAAAATATTAGGATATGCTAAAAACTACCACTGACGGGTTCTCAACTTTAGATAGGCATATGAAAATGTGTTGGGGTTAAATTGCTTTGGTTTTTATCCCCTCTCAATGTCGATCAATGGACAAACAAAAGATAGATATTTTGACAAACAAAGAAAATCACTTAGTTCTATGATATTTTTATTAAAGATAACAAAAAACGTACACAAATACAATTTGTATTATTTATTTTTCATTATGATTGATTGTTGACGTTAGATTGATTCTGTTATTTTTTTTTTTAAACATCGTTGGTCAAATAGCTAAAGAATTTATACGTTGTGAGATTTAAAATATTTTAATAAGGGCATTCCAGATTAGGTAAATGTAAAACGCTTTGGACGGACCAAACTATATTAATGTAACTGATATAATTTTCTCACACATTTAAATATTCAAGGTTACCGATGATAATTTAAAATAGTACAGTTTTTGGTTTATACGCTCGTTTTCGTGGGCCATTTTTATTTATAGAATTATTTAATTGAAAGTAATTCAGAATTTCGTTGTTACAACAAAATACTCACCTATTTATTTAAAAACTGAGCTAACGCAAAATATTAAAAAAAATATATAACGGCGATTCAGGTATTTTGCCACCATATTCCTCCCCAAATAATTTTTTTTCTGTCTCAAAACCCGCACACTTCTCTTTTATCATCTTTTTTTTTTTATGTTTTTCCTGGGACTATTATACTAAGTTAGTATAATAGTCCCAGGTTTTTCACACCTGAAACGGCGAACCCTTGAGGCCAAACAACACTCTAGTGGTATCAAAAGATTAAAATTACATAATGCTAATCTTTTAAGTGATCGTGAATTTAACCACGCCTTTACCAGGTAGTGTCAGTATAATACACATTGTATTTACACAGTACTAGCGGGAAATGTTTGCTAGAATGAAGCAAGGATTTGTATAGTAAGACAAATCCTTGACTGAAGTAAAAGGTGAGAATACAAACGTGCATTTTTATTACACAATCAGTTATAAAATGTTTGTTCAACATATCTGTCGGAAAAAAAATTCATAAAAATATTCTATTGTATGATTTACTTTTATTACAATAATCATATCAGAAATCCCTAAAATATACGTACATTTTGATTTAAAAAGTTGCACGGCTGATCACTTTACTCAATTATTAGTTGGTTAATAGATACGCACAATAGTCGTCGATGCGCTTTAAATCGCGTTATTAGATGATTAACGAACAAGACTTAACATGAGATTAAATCCACTCCCGGCATGCAGTTAGACTTAACTACGTCACAGAAGTCAGGAAGTTCGAATAAATAAAATTAATAATTCCTAATTTTCTTCTTTATTAGTGTTCATATCCAGATAAAACTTGGTGAATATGTTTTTTATGGTATTATGAACATAATAAGATGATAAGTAAAAAATCGCGAATTTTCCCTTTAATGTTTGTTTAATTCCAGTAATTTTTGGGGAAAGACGGCTTCAAGCCGTCAATTCCCTATTTGGTTGGCCAGACTTCCAAGCCTCTCACGTCAATCATTTTGTTTTTATAGTTGGAAAACACCTCAAAATATCATACTGAATTGATGAGATCGAGATACACAAATGAACAGATTGACTTTAAAACACTTTTTTACACATTTCCCTTCTGTTTCTCGTGAAATTATCGTATCTCGAGCTCTCCCTTACACTATTTACATTTCTTTTACAATCCGGAAAAATCAGTATTACGAAATATTCTAAATATATCCAACCTAGTATCGTCATGGTTGGAATTCTACACTACGTAGAAGCAGGGATATCCTTTACTCATAAAATCATTCACAGAAATTGGTACGATTTTAAAATCGGTATTTGTTTTATTAAACATAATTCTGTTTGCTGTAGATGATTCAAACATCAATGCTTTAATTTGTGGGTCAACTTTCGCGGTAAACGATGGGGATACATGAGATTGGGGAGAGAAACGGCATTTTTCTTTTTTCTGTAACTGTATTGCTAATCTTCCTCCAACACAGTAGCACCTCTATTGATGAGTAATTATCCACCAAAATAAAAGTTCATGTATCTGAACACTTAAAATGTGACATTTAGTATATGATAAGTAGTCTTCCATTAAAACAAAATTTTGTGTACCAACATAATCATTGAAAATGGTAAAAAATTATAAAATTTTCAAATGGTGCTTTTTGTAGTTTAAACATATTTATTCATGAAATTTACAAATATATCAAAATACACAAGGATAACAAAATGTTGGATCTGGAAACAAGATGCACACAGCTTATATCAATCTGATTGATTTTTGTAAGTACATGTATCCCTGTGATGAGAGTTGTAACTGGGAACTTAATCAAGGGGAAAATTTAAAACTGAATAGACTTTTCAGTCCTCACTTTCCTGAGAAAGTTGTAATCAATTAAAAATTTTAAGAGGACCGTCACAAAACATTGAGAATGGCCCTAGCCTGCAGTTCAGTGGTACACAATAAAAAAATTAAAAGTATATTGTAGTAGTTATTAAATGATAGAATTCAATTGAATTTTCTAAAAACAATCCACTAAAGCACCTGTCACTGTAAAGAAATCCTATCTTGGTTCTCTTACTGTATAAAAAAAAAAATGTAGGTCTGTCAAAAATTTGATGGGTCTGGCAAAACTTGCTACCCTGTAGGCCCCAATGTCTGACAGAAAAAAAACTGTTTGCATCTCTGAAACAAGGACATCATCTGTGTATCATGGACACATTCCCCATTTATTTTTCTTCGTGTTGGAAGATATTGATTTGATATTTGGTATATAGTTTTATCATGACCAGTTACAGATCAAATTTGAAATTTGAATTTTGTTCGGTTCGGATGATTTGTTTACAGCATTTGGGTCCTCGGACTTGGAAAATTCACGCAAATAATCAGTTTTCCGCACTATTTTTGTTATAAGTGCTTTTGTAGTTTTGTCTGTTTTTCAGATACTATAAACAAAAGATTATGTGTATGGAATGAATGTAAGGTGTATATTACCGTCTTACCGGTTTCATTTGACCTTGACCTTTTTGGGGATTCATTGGATAATGTTTTAAATATTTCCTGTTTGGGCTAAATGTATGATACTATAAGCCATAGGGCCATTATATTCATGATAATTGGTATATATCATGGAATGGTTGTTAATAGGAAGACATGTCTCTCTGGTAAGTTTTCATGGTTTTGTCCATTTATCAAATACTGTAAGCCAACTATATTAGTTGTAAGGAATGATTGCAAGATGTACATGTCTGTCTGGTAGGGTTCATCAGACCTTGACCTCATTTTCATGGTTCATTAATTTAGTCCATGTTCAATTTTGTGCAATCAGGTCTGTTTCTCTTGCCCTTTGGCTGATAGTATCTGAGTATATGCAAAAGGCCAACTTTATTTGATGTACAATGTAAAGGTATGAAATTTAATTTAATCAAGTAAAGCAGCAGAGACATATCAGCATGTGCACTCTTGTTGTAATTTAAGTTGCATTTTATTAAGTTAGTTATTTGTGAGTATAAATTAAGTTGCCTTCACAAAGACTTTTAATTATCTGACCTCGTCCACCATAATAAAATTCAAAATATTTCACGGTGGCTAGCTTAACTTTACTAATGCATTTGTTTCTCTCGAAATATTGAGATATTTTATCTAAAACAAGACCCTTTAATTAAATTTACTACTTCACTGTTTTATTACTTGCACATTTTATGTTCTTTAATGTTTTGTCATATAGAAGTTTTGAAAACCTACTTGAATTATGTTACCCAATGCGTAATTGGGTATCTTACATTGATTATATATGTGCATAGTTGACAACTTGTTTTCCATGCACTGTAGGGGGCTATTTCTTTCAGTTCTATGCATGCAAACAGTCTTTGTTTGTTTTAGTCTCCTTAGAGCAGACTGTATATATATAGGAAATACCTTGTTGCCTCTCAGTGGAGAATATTTTGAGGTTTTGTTTCTTTCACATGATTTATTAAACCATATAACTAATTTATTAACTTTATAAATACTTTTTGAACTTTAGTATTTCTTTTGAATTCAAAGATATAGGGCATTGTAAAGATTATTAGATAAAGCTAAAATTGACAGTACAAGT